CCAACGCCCAACAGCCCCTTCTGCACAGAAATCCTTCCTCAGAGCCAGCCTGACCCTGCCCTGGGCAGCTTGAGGCCATTCCCTCGGGGCCTGGCGCTGGGGCCTTGGCTCCAGAGACTCATCCCCCCTCTCTGCCCCCTCCTGGCAGGGAGTTGCCGAGGGCCAGGAGGTCTCCCCTCAGCCTCCTCTTCTCCAGACTGAACCCCCCCAGTTCCCCCAGCCGCTCCCCAGCAGACCTGTGCTCCAGACCCTGCCCCAGCTCCGTTGCCCTTCTCTGGCCACGCTCGAGTCATTCAATGGCCTTTTTGGGGTGAGGGGCCCAAAACTGAACCCCCTCAGCGAGGGGCGGCCTCCCCAGTGCCGAGCCCAGGGCTCAGATCCCTTCCCTGTCCCTGCTGGCCACGCCAGTGCTGACACAAGCCAGGATGCCACTGGCCTCTTGGCCCCCTGGGCACACTGCTGGCTCCTGTTCAGCCAGCTGTCAATCACACCCCAGGTCCCTCTGTGACTGGCAGCTCTCCAGCCACTCCTCCCCAGGCCTGTAGCCCTGCTGGGGGTTGTTGTGGTCATTAACCCCCCCTCAGTATTTTGAAATCAACACATGCTAATGTTCGCTCTAATAAATACATAAATACTCCCCTCCCCTTGGAAACATCCAGGGCTTATATGGTGGATCACCTAACTTTCAGGCTCTTGCTTCTGGAATAGAGCGTGGAGCCCCTGAGGGGCACCGCGGTGCTCTGTGTAGCACAGCATGACACTGAGGCACCTCAGGGTGGGACCCAACATAGCCAGTCTCCACGGGAAGCAAACTAAAATCTGCATGTTCTACCTGCAGCTACTCAACAGCAGCCAAGGGAAAAAACTTCAGACAGGAAAACATGAAAGCTAGCCTGCATGCCTGTGGTTTACACTCTGCAACTTGTGCAAGCAAGGTAACTGCGCCTTCCTCTTAAAAGAGCTAAGCAGGAATTGCATCACCAAGTCTTCTCAGGAGAAGTGTATGACATACACATATGGCACATAATAGCTTACAGTTTGAAAAAAATAGAATCTGAAAAATTCTGTTCCTTCTCTTGCAGAGTGTCATTGCCACATCTTCCTCTTCTGCAAGGAGTGCCTAATATATTAAGCTGTACCCTGACAATAGTAGATTATGAACCTTTGTTCCACCTTGTTGAAACTGTGCCATTGTACATGTAAAGAAAACAAGATTCCCAGTTAAACAGTCCTAGTCCCTGTGCTCTAAGAAAATGCTGATCCTCCACATTACGTTAATTGTTTTTGATGGACATTTATCATGCAGAACAATCCTAATACAGAGAACAATATCCTAAAGATAGCTTCGTTTCCTGGCTGATACATTTATTGCATTTAATGCAGTTTGAAGTTGTAAAGTCTCTCAGGAGTTTGCTGTACAAAAGCAAGCCTGAAAAGGCCTTAATTACAGCACTGCGGAATATAACAACTCACTGTCAAACAGAAGATAAAGACAATAACATAAAGAAAATGTAAAACAGTCCTTCTCAAAGCCCAAGAAAAAACACTCCCTCTGAAACCTGACTCCAAGTATACTTACAGCCTAAGCATCCAAAGTGCTTGGAGGAACAGCTGCAATTGTAAGAGCACTGACACTGTTGTGTCTGATGGAACACCTTCTAAGAAGGGTGCATCCTCTGAAACAGTTCCTAAAAATACAGTCAGCACTTAACTCAAGCACCCTCATCACTATTTCTAAACTGACACAAACCCCTCTCAGAGCAAAATCACAACAGTGGGAAACGTGAAAACTAGGTTCATTTCATGAGGCTGTAATCTCCCCGAAGCTGGGTCTCCTGGCTGCAGTTTACGCTGACATAGTGAAGAATTTTGACAGACTCAAAGACTGACACTATTAACACTGGAAGGAAAAAAAAGGCATCGACAAAAGTTGAAGTTTAGCAACTGTACTACACTCTGGAAGTTACAAGCAAGATGGAGGTGAAGAGGGAGTATGGCTGACTTTTTCACCCATTAGCCCTGACTAGAATGACAACCATTGCAGTACCCATGACATCAGAATCGATATTTGCTGGTTTTCCTTGCAGGCAAAATAGGAATCCCTCCAGATGCAGTGGAAAGAGCACTTGCTGTGAAGGGTATGCATCCAGCTTAATGCAAACCAGATATACAAAGCGGATACATTTGACTGAAGAACCCGGTGGTTTATTTGGTTATTTTTATATGATTACCATATCTGGAAAGCATGCATAAGTATAATAATGATCTCAGTTGTACCAGACTGTTCTTAATTTTCAAAAGGCTATTATGTTTTTAAATGGGATTTTACCTTACTTGGCTGGAATCCATCGTAAATAATCCATAAAGGAAAACAAATAGCCCAACCAGGGCAGCAGGAATAAGCATTCCAGTATACCATCCCAACCAGGCAAAATACAGTCCAATTTTTTCACCAAAATATCGCCTACATGACAAAGAAACACACTGTTTAAAGTTAAAACTTACGGTGATCTCTTCACAGTAGCAGAATAATTCTAATGAGCTACTACTCATACATGTTTATGGTAAAATTATTGTCAGTTTACCAAAATGTTTCATTTCAGGCCAGCATAACATTCTAGAGTAACACTTATTGCAGACTTCAGAACATGTATTTTATAAGGATATAACTAGAAGTGCTCTGTAATTTTCATGTCCTTGCAATGACTAAATAGATGTACCAGTTTCAACATTATTATATGTAGGACTTCTTACTTGCACACACAGACATAAATAGAGACATACATGCAGAGACACAAAAAATTTTTGGAAAGGTGCAAAAGCAGTTGGTATGACCTAAGTATATCATTATAAGCATTTATGATAGATAAGCATGTAATAGGACATATTTAAAACTATTATTGAGTAAACAGTGGACTGAAAACACGAGTTGAAGATTGAGCAATTTAATTATTCAAGACCTGGGTATCAGTTGCTAGAAGAAATGAAGTCGCAGTGATCAGAAAGTCAGTCAAGGATGACAGTACTTTATCAGCACAGAACTGTGCCGTGGCACATGCTTAGCTCCACAGACTTCAGTGGGCACAATGACTGGCTACGACTGTCAGGTCAGGAATAAAAACTGACCGTGAGGAAAAATGAATTATCGGTAATGGCAAAGATGAGGGAAGTACAGAAGTGAAACATCATAATTATTTAACTCCAACTACATATATTTCTCTGCTTCACATCTGGTGATCTATGACATTAATTATAAGATATATACAGAGAAGGTTACTTAAACCCACACAGAAACATAAGAATTAGGTTTCATTTTCACTCCCCTGGATCTGGTAACTGACTGCCCATGTGGGTAACAGTCTTTGCTCCCAAAGGTGCTCTCACAAGGGGCAAGTGTCTCTTATCAGCAGAGCACTCATGGGTTTATATGTTAAGTTTCAAACTGCAAATAGTCAGGCAGTGGCATCTATCTCACTTGAAACTAGCAGCCCTGCACAAAAGACCACCCAAAAGAAGCAATTTAGAGAAATCCAGTCTTATCTGATAATATTGTCCAGGTAAATGTTACAGGAAAGCACAAGGCATTTAGCAGCATGGCTAACGCACTGTTAACAGTTTGTTCTGTTTCACAGAAACAAGCTACTCTTCAAAGTACTAATACCTGATTAAATCAAGAGGTTGGTATTTGTACCACATTCCCCACCGGGCCCAACGCTCATATAAGAGGTGTCTGTGATTCTGAGCTCCGTGTGTTTTGATGGGATGTCTGCTTTTGTGGCTTCCCTGAAAAACACAAACAAGTAAAAAAGTACGTGACTAGGAACTATGGAAAAAAATATATATAGAAATTTCTGAGGTATTTTTGAATATTATTTTAAATGACATGTTCACTGTTTTTTAGAAATAGGTCTCTTATTATGGACATCTCTGGGACATGTGATCTGGAGCTAACATGTAAACCTGACAGAAGAGATACGATTACATATGCTTCCAAAATAGCCAGTTTCTCTAAGAATTGATAGAGCCATACTAGTCCAAGACTATAAAGAACTACTCAATTCTTTATATAGCTGGAAGTACAGTGTTCCTATTTCACTAATATATGCTTATTTGTATGCTTTCGCCTATTTCCATTTTTGAAATTTTTTTGACATGTTTGTGGTAGCTTTTTTTTATCCTCTACTACAAGTTTTCAGAAATTTCTGGTATGGCTGCTCAGTTTTCATCTCCTAGACATTTTCTATAACTTTAACTCCTGTTTAGAAGTATTGAAAAACAGTCTTTCTGTGATACATATTTTCTGAGATGATGGAAACAACAGAACTGGCATTAATTTGAAGCTGCATAGGACTCTCAGAGGCATTAAAAGCAAACCACAAAATCAGTCTGACCCAAAAGGGGTATATCCAGGCCGTACCTGATATTTACAGACGGTCCAATAGACTGAAAAATAATCTTTTTACTGTGCAACACAGAGATTTGCTAGAACCATCCTAAAGCAGAATACCTTGTATTTGTAATTTTATTCCAGTTCTGAAGCAGAACATCTCTCATTGAAATTTTTCCCCACAGAAGACCCTACCATCTTTCACCAAAGAACTGCAAGTGAGCTAAATAATTTCTTGGGAGGACAGCAGAGTTCCTCAGAGGAGTACCTCAGAGTCAGCAATTGATTTTTGACTCTGGTAGATTACTGTAATTCAGCCATTTAGATTTTTATCATTTATTTGAAATCTTGAGCATTCCCCGCAAATAGAAGAACACTAGTTACTTGTTGCAGTCTGCTGAACTTCTGGTTTAAGAATCAGTTGAAAACAAAGCTAAACATAGCAAAGAGTCCAATTCTACTCATTTCTCATTACAGGCAGGAAAGCAAACCAAAAATGTCAACACAGAGAGTGACCTCTGCAACATCTAGGAACAGAACATCAACTTATTCTCAGTCACATGGATGAATGACTGCAGCGCACAAAGCACTACCCAGTATTGTATTTTTGTAATTTTTTTTTTCTTTCCCTCTGCTTCTTTCTGCACGGTTTATCCATAACAGAGTTCAAGTATCAGCACTCCCACTGGGACTGAATTTTCACTCTCATTTGCTCGTGTGATAAAGAAAAAAGAAAATAAAAATAAAAGAGACTGTTCAACCACTAGTCCTTAGCATCAGTCAAGCAGCAATTAAGGTAAGAGTGGCTTAAAAATATGACTTTATTATCCTTAACTTAAACTTCAAAATAGTATCTTATGCCCTCAAAGGAACGCATACATAAAATGGATATGACAGCATGGTTTTGACAACCAGAGAAAGCTTCACAGTTTTCTCTGGTAGTTTGGCCAGCTTTCCCCTAAAGTCTGTAATGCACAGCTGAAGCATTAACAATGGTGTTCAATTATTTATCTAAAATGCTCCTCCTCTATATTCCCAGTATTTAATTATTAATACCATGTAAAAAATTACTCTCAGCAATTTGTAAAGCACGGGCCAGTCCTTTGAAGCACAAGACCAAGTCACAATATTCAGTCTGAGCAACCACAGAGTTCCCAGCTGTGATAACCATGCTACCGATCAGCATTTGAAATGACTGAAGATGTGTGGCTTGCTTCTTTCTTTTCAGTACACAAAGATTGTCTGAAACCCTCTCAAGTCAAAAACGAGCTCTTCATTTTCTTCACAGATTTACAGTTTTCAGTAGATATTAACCTACTGAAATAGATATTGTCAAGTAGAAGTTACGCAGAACTATTCAGAAAAGACTAAATGGGAAATAATTAACCGGTTTCCCTAACTGTGATCAAGTGCACAAGCTATTAGAAAAACAGAACATTTTGTAGGTGGCAGGCAAAAATAATTCAATACAATTAATTGGAACAATTTGAAACAACTGATATTCTCATTAAGAACTCCACAGGCAATGTCCGGTTCATAAAAATAAAAAAAGAATTATGATATTCTAGTTCAGCAAGAAAATGCTGCAGGAAGTTACTATAAATTTTTGCTCATGCAATGTATTAAAAGACAATATTAAAAGGGCTATAAATCAAAAAAGTCCCAACAGATTACATGGTGAAATTAAAAGTTTGCAGGACAAAATTCAACGTAAAGTAGTACCCCAAAACATTTAATTTTTAATTAACATTTTAGATATCTTAAATCTTAACATTTAAGATATCTTAAATCTTAACATTTAAGATTTAATCTAAATATAAATACAAATACAAAATTAACCGGGTCACCTCATGTGGTGGAAATGCTGCTTCATATGTTCCATTATTTAGTAATCTATTAATACCTGAAAAGAAAAAAAACATTAGTTCTGATATCACTTTTTTATACACACTTAATTTCAAGCAGTGCAAATTTTCAAGTTACATATTGAGAATGTAACTTAGTAATAGATGCTCGTGATGCTGCTAAACACGACAGCAATCAATAATTCCACTGATCCCTTGAGATTTCTGGCTCTGTCAAACTACAGCAACTTTCTGAGGGCCAACGTCTGCACCTTTTCTCTCGGGGTCTGGTGCTCGTGCCAGATCAAGTGTGAGAAGACAGCTGCATCCATGTGGTGTTCATCAGAGCATACGATCCAGATTTTTTGTGTGACCAGACGATCTGACATACAGAGAGTGGTGCAGACAGACAATCCTTGAGGCAGCAAAGCCCCTGCAGGGTTAAAAGCTAACCTGTTGTTATTAAATAGAAGCCAGCTGAAGGACTTTGTTTCAGAGCAGTGCTCTGCACCACACTGGCTACAGCATCTTGGATCAGTTCCTAGTCTTCCTCAAACCAGATCTGTTGTACTATCAAAGCACATTATAAATAATAATAAATAAATAACCATTAATAATTATAATGAAGATTCAGCAGCCTGTAAGAGCATACCTATAGCCATGAGTTTCCCCAAGAACTAAGTACTGATGATGGATTTCAGATTTGTCCATTCAAATATACAAATTACACTAAATTAATCCTGTAATGAAATTTGCCATCATCAGCTTCAAAGGCATTAGATTTCAACCCTCACTTTCTACGTTTTTCTTACTACTGCTTTTTTTCAGAAACTCAAGCAACAACTTTCTGTAATTTCTATCATCTTCATAAGGTTTTAACATGTCTACATATATTTAATTCTCAATTCCTTCAAAGAATATAGGAAATTATACATACATCCCCTGTTCATTGCAAACGAAACTGAATAGTTAGATCTTCTAAAAAATAACATTTTAATAGAAGCGTTGATACAAACTGAATTTAAAGTTCAGGTCAACTGTCTCTGAGCTGCATGGAGACCTCAAATAAGTTAAAAGAGTAGCTCACATTGATTCTGCTGCACTAGAACTGCTAGGCAGTAGCAGAACTACTAGGACCAGTCCTTGACAACAATCTTCTGAGGTATATGTTAACTTTATTCTGCCTCTTGATCACATAAAGTTATCATAACCTATCAAATATATTTTAAGGAATGAGTAATTACATGAAAAATATTGCCAGCTTTCACTGAGTTATTTAAGAAAATAATCAATGTGACATTCCTTCAACTTTGTGACTGAGTGAATAAAAAGATTTCAAGGAATGGCAAAATTAATTGAGTTTACTCAAATGATACTTTTCCAGGCAAGTAAAGATACAAAATTTTTATAGTTTCAGGTTAAGAAAAGAATACAGCTGTCTCACCCATTTTGGATTTTCCATCTTCATACTTAGTTCTCTGTAGCATGTGATGCACGATTCTGCTTCTTGTGGAATTGCTGAAGAAGCTGTCTTTGTTGTTTATTGTAAAACTATTAAAATAATGGATGTCTTTTAATATTCAAAACAATGCATAGGTGTTGAAACATAGCTGCTCAAGCGTTTTTTTCTTTCAGTGATTTATTGGATCTTTACCCTCGGTTACTGCACAAGACATAAGATTTTACATCCCTAGAGCATCTTCTCAGGTCCAATAAATTTATCATCATCACAGATGATTGCTGGAAAAACAGAGCAACAAAAACTAAATTCTGAAATATCCTACTATCTAGGTCATTTCTGTTCTGGATATAATTAATTTTAAAAAGATCTTCAGATGTAGTGGTTGTTCTCAAATTCAAGTTACTTATAAGTTGGCAGATGTCTGTGTCATGGAACTACCAGAACTACTATTTAGGAAAAAAAAAAAAAATCATCTCCCTGCACTGGACACTCGAGTAGCAGCTCTACAACCACTTTCCCTCAGAGAATCCTAGGATGAGCCAAATAAAGCATCCTTTCCCAGATGGCTCTGGATTCGGGAAGCCAGAAATCTGACATGTAGGAGCTTTCGCCTACGCAGATGTGCCAAAAGTGACACTATTACAGTTGGTAACGTCAGCTGAGCTGGTTGAGAAATAACACCAAAACCAGGTGACTGATCCATTGCAATATAGTAAATCATGGAAAAAAAAAGAGATTATAATGCAATTGCTCTGTCTTTCCAGTGAAAAGTCAGTCTAGTAGCATATAGCATCTTTACTAAGAAAAAAATTAATATTTAACCTAATTTATATTTCTACTTTAAGTGAACTCTTCTCTCCTAAAAGAACTATCACAAAATACTTTAAAAATGAAGAAACAGCCAGAATTTTAAATTAAACTTTTTAGGTCTTGAAAAAATTTATGGTATGGTTTAACTACATCACCATTAACATTCTGATTTGAACACATAGATATATTTATACTTTCAGAGACAAAAGCATTTTTAAAATGCAGACCTGATAAGAAAAAAAAAATCATCACTGGTTTTAGCTTGCCTCCAGGTGTTCCCAATTTCAACAGCTGTCTCAGGTTTTGCCTAAGTAAAATTTGTAATTAAGCAAAGCAAACTTGAGCAACTATTTGCATTTTGTAATGTAACAGAAAGAAAAACTTCTAACCCAAAAAGGCAGTGCTCATTTTTCAGTCAAATTTCTGCTTATAGTTCTGAATGACCATCAAATAGCAAGTAAGAGGCAGTAGAATTTTTGGCTTTAAGAGAAAACCCATAGAAAATATCAAACGTGATACTGGCTATTTGCCAGTGACCATCTGTTAATGGCTGCCTCTGTGGCACTTGCTTCGAAGAAGTGAGAAAATAAAAAAATCCTTGTGGTCTCCGGCACTGCCTTTCCAGTTTCAGCACTTACTGGTGTATGCGTGCACGGCTAAAGGGTGCTGTGTAGCAATCTGTCTCTTCCAGATCAGGTAGGGCCTCCTTATCAAGCTTCATTGGATTTCTGGGCAACCAACTTTTCAACTCTCTCATATTCCTCTGCAAACTGAGACAACAGCAAATCAAATTTACACGCTCTCACCTGCTTGTTATTCATATGTCCAACACCGCATATTTAGTGACATCATACTGGAAATTAAATGAAAGCAGGAAATTTCCACATTAAGGAACTAAAAGAAAATAAAGACTTAAAAGAACAAAATTAACAGTATTTATTTGTGATCTATCTTACACGCTTTAATTGAGCACAACTCATCCTAAAATTAGTGGGATTACGCTTTGAGACAGGACTGCAGTACTGAAGCTGGGGAAAACAATTTTTCAAGGTAGTTCATCTGGCAGAACTGGGGATGCTTATGCTTACCCAAGAATATCTCTGATTACTTTCTCTAGCCCAACTGGACAAGGCAAGTGTAACTCTTCCTCCCTCCCTTGCCTGGCAACTTGGACACTAAAATTAATAAATGTGAAACTAAATACGAGACTGCTCAGGATCAAATTTTTCTGGTTTTCTGTTTTCAGTAAAGCCTGCCCCTGCAAAACTTTCCTCAAAATCTAAGGGCTGATATTGCCTTACAAAACGGGATGCCTTAAAAAACAGCATGATCAAATAAATTAAAAGATACATTATGCAGACACAGTTAGTACATAGAAAAAAAAACCCAAACAACCCCTAGGTATGACTTCCTGCAGTTTCCCAAAAATTGACATTATAAAATACAGACATAATTTCTATATCCCTGATTAGATTATATACTGGGAACATAAAGGCCTTGCTTTATTTATCTCTTTGCTGAGACTTGCCTAAATAGTGTCTCAGGACATGGTTTATACAGCGGTCAATCTAGTGAAGTGCAGTTAATTTTCAAGCAAATGCTAGAAGTTACCTCCTTATCACTTCAGTTTTGCACTCCTTGCTGACTTTTTTTTTTTTTTTTTCATATTCAACTGCAATGCAATATGGGTATTTAAGGAGTAGGTCTCATATTAAACGAGTGCTATATTATGACACTGTAAGCATAAACCAGGATTCAGAAAAAGTCCACATTTTAGAAAAAAAAACATTCCATAAATAATATTTTTTTTAAGCAGCATTTGGGCCTTACTCAATGAATATGTATGCGTGATATATAAAGCATACATATCTCACATCCACAAGAAGTGTAAAGCTAAGTATCAGATTTTTTGATCTGAGGTGAATACTTAATTGCCTGTGCTCAGCAGAAGCACAGCTACCCATTTCATAATGAAGAGTAATATGTGATGACACAGTAAGTTGCTCTCAGGAAGCAAAGCGACCTTTGTGAAAATGTACCTCATTATCAACATCAGCACAAAAGTTCTACCCCGACACGGTGTCAGACAGAAATCTAAGCCAAATGTTGGATCGGAATTTTACATTTTTCATTTAAAATGGGCAGAATTTTCTTCTTGCTCTATATTGCCAAGGTACTGGTGCACACTCTGTATGTAACTGGGACTTGAGGGCCACCACTCTGTTTCACACTGAGCGTTATGAGCCACAGGACCGAAGTGTTCATAAAGCTGAAACACAGAATACAGTTCCTAGGCAGGAGAATCCCCTAAGTGTCTCCTTTGCTCAAATAATACCTTACTGTATGAGCAGATGTGCTGTACTGGTTCCAGTGGAAGTTCTCCCAGTACAAAGTTATACACAGTGTATGTAAAGTACAGTTTTCACTTTATTATCTTCATCTTTTTTTCTGCTCATTTTTTTTGAGAGTCCAAACCCAGGCTTTTCTTTAATGAGGAAAATATGCAGATACATCAGGAAGAACAGAAAAACAATGCACCTGATTTCAAATTTTTTTATTATGAAATTCTTTTAAAATTGGTTATGTGAAAAGTCTTTATCATTTTCCCCCTTCCAAAAATCTAAAAAAAACCCTAATAGACAATTATCTTAAAGAAATCAGCTCTTGTTTGAAGTTCATGTCTGCTGCTTTGAACATGCCAAGTAATGAACAGCATTGGAGTAAATTACAAATTATGTCCACATGATATTTGCAATTTCTCTTCTGTGGCAAAAAGACCTTTTATCTAAGGTGCGATTGCTTTTTCATTCCATCACTTAATTGTTGATAACTCCAAAATTTAGTGCCTTCAGAGAGCATAGAATAATTCGACTGAAAAATATATCCCCCCATGTACAAAAAAAATCCAGCAGGAGACACCTCTTTCGCTTGGCTTACATTATTTTACAGTTGAAGAAGAAATGGAGTTTCATGGAGCTTTCATTCAAAGTGATAACAAATTTAAGACAAATTTTTGCCTAAATCAAAGGACTAAGTATTAGCATTTTTACTCAGAGTGCCTTTCTAGGTCAAAAGTAGCAGTTTAAAGTGATTCCTGACATAACCTATTCAGCGTAGTTGATTTAGTAAGAGGAAAAAGCCGAGAGAGCTGGTCTGGTGAAGTCACTCATGAAGTCAGGAGTTCATGCCATCAGATCAAAGATGTCCCAGTGGAACAGTGCTGCCAAGATACGGGCTGCTACTTCAGGTGTGCTCTTACTGAAACCACTCCGGCTGGAGCTACTGTGCCTTTATGCACCTTGGACTACGAGATACTCTTCTGAAACACATATACATTTTATTCTTGGATATAAAATTCAATATTTTATGAAGCTGCCTGTAATTTCAGCTTTGCTCAACTTCCAAGCTCGACTGTACTGTTCTATTTGTTTGGTTGTTCTTTTTTGCAGAACTAGTTAGTCCGAAAATCCTTGCAGATTACATTTACACAGCAGACTGCAATGCAAAGGAACACAGTATAGGTGAGTTTGGAATTAACTGATCAGACTCAAGGAACGAGATACCAGAATTAAGCAACTGCCACTGATCATGTTAGGTATTTCTGACAGCAATCACAACCCAGTAGTTTGCTCAGTGTTTGCACCTCTCAAGATTGGCCAGAATTGTCAACCATATGTCACCAAATTACATGGGCGTGCTACGTTTCCATGTTTTATAATAGGAAACATGTTATGGTTGACAGATTCAACATACGGATACAATCACCACAAAAAAGGGAAAAAAAGATACTATATTTGTTCAATGGAATTATATTAATAATTTCACTTCAGTGTGCAGATTGAAATCCAGAAAGTTTTAAAAGCCCTTTCGCAATGCAAAATTACTGCAGCTCAGCTGCTGAACAAAGTCATTTTTGGTTCTCTGTCCTTAGAAGTATAAATTTATTTCAACATTTCAGTGGGCAGAGTGAAGCTGCATTCCTCAATGTCAGTCTTAACCAGCATGAAATCAGTGTGTTTGATATGGCAGATACAAGACTAATTCATTAGATTATTCAGTCTTAAATCTGAGAGATCAGACAATTTTTGATAGCTACATTATTTACTTGAATACCCCAGTTTTAGCAACTTCCTTTCCTTTGAAAAGATTTGTTGAAGTCTTTCCAAATATTGCTCTTAAGGAGTATGATAAATTTATTTCTACAGTGTGGCCCCATGAATAGCATTCAAGCTTCACAGGAAGAAGCACAATGGTAAAGGGATTTTTAAGATACATAAATAAAGAAATAGAGAGATACCACACAGATATCACATATACGAAAGATGGTACAGCAGTAAGCATTACATTTATCTTCTGTCCTTTCATTCATGCTCCTAAAACTCTTTTGCAGACTTTTAAAAGGACATTTATAGAAATGTATGTACCCTACAACCATGTCAGTAAATTCAGAGAAACGTACATGTCACAGCAGGGTCTAATATACTAGTGTTACCTCATATTCTTAGATTATAGGAACTCTACAGCCTTAAAATTCTACCTTTGATATACAAGGATTTTGATATAGTTCTTCATCATAGCTCTTGTAAACTCCACTTACCTTAGAAATATGAGAGATCTGATAAATTACAGAGAAGCGGTTAAGTTTGGAAAGTTGTAAAATGCAAAGGAACAATTACAGGAGTAGAAGTTAAAATGATGAGATGTGTATGGCAGCAATTTCAGAGTTAGATTTCATTTATAGATGTAGGGTGTTTTTTTTCCCCCACAAAATTTCTTCGTACACTAGTTCATATAAAGTGCCAGAAAAAATATTCAGAGAAATATTCAACTCCAGATTCTCAGTAAATCACAGGTAAAAGCATTTGTCTCAAATGAAAAATCAATCTGGCATGAAAAGTGTTTATTACTTGGTTCACAGTTACTGTGCAACTTCAGTCGCACATTTCAGACATCTGTCCTTCAAAATAAGGAAAATAAATGGTTTTAATATCTAGGACTCATAGGATGGATTACAGATGGAATGAGACAATTTCGCAGTTAAGCTTGTTGATTTTGCCTTTGCATTACAAAGCACATCGCTTATATTTTTCCTAATGCACACTAAAATAGAGCAAGCATGTGAATGACTGGGAAGAGGAAAAAACGCAGTTGTAAATTTATGTTACAGATTGTTATATTGCAATATATTTTATCTGCTCATGTGTTTAAAGTTTTCTCACTTCACTGTCCAACAGTGCTTTGTCTATTTTTGTTAGCTGATCATCTTGCAAACTGATATCACGAGACTACTTAAATTGTTCCTGAGACATAATGAGAGCTCTTCATCATCTAAAGTAACAACAGGAGAACCTAAATCAAACCTAAACTCATCTCAAGATCCATCTCGAGAAAACCCATGATAGAAAACTCTTCCAGGAGATTTCCCCCATGTAAAAATTTTCATATCTTTTCTGTAGGCAACTAGGATTTACAAGATATCATTATGTCTGACTAGAGCAAGAGGGAGTGATTAAAGCTCACAGTGTCCCTCGTTCTCGCTCCTCAGCTCCCCCAGGCTCCTTTCACCTGCTGCTGTGGCCTCTTGTACCCTTCTCCTGGCTGACAGGAGCAGCGACAGCCACCGCAGGTGATGTTTGCATGTGTCTGCCTCCCAAAGAGTTACACGGCTTTCACTGCAGTGTACAAGTCATTCTGTCAGCTATCGAATAAAAATTCAAAACAGCCTTTGGTGTGTGGCGTTGATTTAGTCCTGATCACCAGGACACATGAGAGAAGTTAGGTTTCTAGGTCTAAGGAAACAGCTGACTCTCAGAATCTGGAGACGTACACTCAACGGTATCTTTCATGCTAAAGAAGTATGCATGGTAACAGCAGACGTAACTGTAGAGAGCTCCAGTATTAAATCTTCTGTCAGGATAAGACTTTTTTTTTTTTTTCCCCCAGCATAAACATTTTTGCATTTCTAAAATGAGAACTGGCAAAGCTTTAAAGTACTGCATCTTGTTACAGATGAATATTTTAACACTTTGAGCTAACATATTTTGAGTTTTCAGGAAAATAATCTAATTTTCCAAGTTTTCTAGATAAATTTACAACTGCGAATGGATTTTCTTTAGCAGGGTGACTATCTGACAAAATTAGAAGCTACACATCACCCACCAACCTGCCCATGGTTTTGCTCCTCCAGTCAGTGTAATAACATTTTTTCCTGAAAGAACAGCAAAAATTAGCTGAGAATAATCAAGTAGGAGACAGGTGAAAAGGACATAAACATTATAAAGGAACACTGGACATTTAAAAACATGCATTTTCATAGGCAGAAAGGTGAAAAACACTTTTAAAAGGCAAGTGAAATAGAATAAGTCATTAAAATGCTGTATTTTCGCATATTTTCATGTTTGAAATTTGTTCCCAAGTCAAAACGAAGTGTTAGATTTGTAGCTAATAATAATAATAATAATACCTAATCAATAATTAATTCATCAGGGACCCATCAGACAGGGTTCAATGGTGTCATGCTAGTATTTATTTCATGTGATCCTTCTTAGCTTTGATTTCACAAAACTCATTTTAGAAGAACCACCAGGGCTTGCATGCCATTAAATATTTCATCCACTCTATGCATTAAATACCATAAGCACCTAATGCCATTAGATACTCTCTTTATTCTCTGAAGTGGTATACCATCACCGTCCCTTGACACTTTGCATCCAACTGAAGAACAATGCACGGCCCTATAAATCTAGGAGTACTAACTGCAACAACTTCTACGTTAACAGTTCTTTTCTCTCCACCCTTCACTGCTCACAGACACTTAGAGACACAGACCAGAAATTCCCAGCAAAGCCTTCTGAGAACAGTTACTTTGAAACCATATAGAGACATCTTTACTGCAATGTAAGATTTTGCGCATCATGTTTCAGGTTTTTTTCTGGCCTCCTCCTATCATTTCATGTCACATTTCAAACACACAAAGGCCTCAATTCGTACCTCTACTCATCTGGGGACAGTGAAGTTCAGTACCAGGGACTGCTCCTCACTTAGTTCATCTTCTACTTAAAAAATCTGACTAAATCCTTTCTATTTCTGCAAGGTTTTTTAGGAGGAATTAAAACAAGCTTATTTAGATACATTATTATAAAAGGTTTAACATTATTTTCAGTTGATATTTTATCCTCCCCCTGCCCTCATTCTAACACACAGAGAAATGGTACTTCCACTCTGGATACTTCTCCATCACTCCTTAGCCTAGAACCATACATAATTAACAAGATCTGCAACTGCCCATTTGGGCAGTATTTGAGATTGATTAGAGTACATTAGTTACATTAAGGTAACAAAGAAATGGATACATTAAAAGGACTGAGAAGGAAATGTTGCCTGGAAAATACCTGACCATCAGAGAACTATGTATCTACCAATCTGCAGGCTGTTGGCGGCCTGACACTTGGCACTACTAGGCAGAATTTTACACAAAGCAATGAAGGATTATTAAAGGATTTTCAGACATTACATCTTTTAACAAAACCATTCCTTCACTCCCTTTAATTGCCCCTAGCTGTTTTGCACAGATGGAATCCAGCTAAGCTATAGATACAACTATAAATTTATTCATTACACACAATAATAATTATTTGTCACAAGAGATACTTGTAGACACAGATAAAATTAAACTTTTGTCTAAGTTCCAGAAACACATAATAGGGTTTAATTTCTACTGACAGATCGTATACTTAACAAAAATACATATAAATTGTTTAAAAATATATAATTAAGTCATGATATAAACTTGGTGTTAATTAATCTTGTTTGAAACCATATACAAAACAACTGTGATTACCACAGACCGGACTTTTCAACTGTTAGAAAATTTTCCTTTTGTAATTGAAACACTGAGATTCCATCTACGTTACATATATTATGTATACTCCGTATCCTACACCACATTAAGGTATAATGCCATGCTAAAACAGTTCTGGGATACTGGGTGGTCCCTTGGGTGAGAAAAAAACATTTTTATTTTTCAGCAACAGAGAGAAATACTTCTTAACCTGTGTAATAATTCTATTGATTTTATTTTTTTTTTAGATTCCTGGATTGAGCAAAGTGAACCTAAAAAGCATGAGTTGAATTCTTCATGTATTATTCATATATAATAGTGACATATTTTAGTGATCGTAAAGCCAAAATTTTGCAATACTGTGCCTGAGAACAAGGGTGTACTACCTTAAAGTACTGCAGGGAAGGTTAGCTCTCTTCTTCGATTATGTATTAAAAATGGACAGTCAGAAATAAATCAGAGAAAGGCTAAAAGAAATAATCTCTTCTTAGAATCACTGAATATCTCAAGTTGAAGGGACCCATAAGGATCATCGCGTTGAACTCCTTGCAGGACTACATAAAACAATCTAAGGACAACCTCAAACATCCTGGGCAGGAACCACTCTAGCTCACTGTAATTGTATGATTTGAGCTTCCTCTGGCCAGTGAATGGAGAAAGTAGTGATCTCGGGGAAACAAATATGTGCCATCTAATTAAGAAAAGTTTGACTGAAATAAGCAAGCTCAAGACTTAAACCAAACAAAAGTGCTTTTGACAGAACACGCAACCGAACCATAAAATGCATGGTCACAGGATTCTGTTACGGAAGAGGAGATGGTTTTTTTGCACCCATGAAAAGACATCAGGGGATAATATAAGCAAAGATGAAGACATAAACTCTGCCGCAGAAAGCCTCTAACCCGCAGCCTTCTGTGGGAAGAGAGGAGGCATCATGAAACACTCATCTGGATCTGCTCGGCTTCTGTATTGGACACTTCAGACTGGCCGTTGGCAGAGCAAGACAGACCTGTGTTCTATTCTGCTACGTCCACTTTGTGTTCACTAGAAAACTGCTCTCACTCTTTGTTTTTTTAAGATGTATGGAAATCAAATAATTAATCACCCAAGTTTAATTTAAATTCCTACTAACATCTTTTTAAAGAGAAAAGAAATGGTGATCAATTTACCATTTCTCACAGTACTGTTATGGAGGTACAGGTGGATAGCAGACTTTTTTCTTAGCAAATAAATGTGTTTCATTCTGCAGCAAAACTGCCAACAAGGTGAAGCAGCAGAAGTTGACATTTTATCTACTTTTGGAGTACCGAATAGAGTGTGATAAAAGGAAGCTAAAGCAACAACCCAGAGACAAAGAAACATGGATCAGACATTTTGGGGGGGGAAAAAAAATTACATGTTAGTTAATAGTATAATAAACTTTGAATGCCTTCCAAATAAAGCAGCATTGCAAGTTTTTTTTTTTTTTTACTCCGAAGAGCGCTACTGGTCTGTGAAGTTACCAAAATGAAGAATGCAAACCATTACTAAATCCTAACTTAATTTTGTGACTTCAAGTATCAAAAGAAAGAACGAACTATTTTTTAATTGGAATGTACATTTTCATGTGTGTGTATACACATATGCAAACATTTCTATATTTAAAATGTTGACAAGTAATTACTTGAACTGGAGAAGCTCTATAATAATATACTCAAACATATGTTGCTACAGAAAACATTTTTTTGGTGGGAAGGACTCAGAAGGCTTAATGGGATGATGTGGAAGCTCAGTATAGAACTGGGTATTTGAAGGAAGTTTTCAGCAAAGGATGCTTCACAATGACTGTTTCTGGCTTAGGACCAATGCAAGAGAGCCACACTGCAATAGCTGAAATCAGCAGGGACATGACAGAGAGAGCACTTGGCAATCCAAGTGAGAAAGGAGTGCTGTAAGGGTATTTTCTGTCAGTCACAGAGCTTTGGAATCTACTTACTACTTTAACTCTCTATGAGGATTACAGCACACTACATGCTCTTCTCTCTGGAAGAACATTAATAATTGATTTGAAAAGTGACATTTTCTCTACAAATATACAACAAATACTTATTTGTAAAAATGTATGATAGACTTTGTTTAGCACTTAGACAAGGAAACTCATTTCAGTTCATAAGACCAAGAAATAAAGGTATCTCATTTTATTCAAAGTATGCCAGTATGTGTTCTATTGGAGACACACTTCACTTGCCTTTAGGTAAGACTTCAGAAATACCCTAAAATCATGGAGAACACTTGACCTCAGATGGTGAATATCTGAAACTCTGCTAAGGACAGACAAAACAATGTGTGAACTACTAACAGTATTTCTAAAGACATGCTTGATTTGACTTGGAAGGTAAGTTTAAAAACAAGTACCACAAGTAAATGTGAAAAAAAACAGCACCTTTTATTTGTTTCTCCTCTCTATCAACTAAGTTAAATACAAACATGCCTGGCCAAAAAGGAGCAAAGACTGCCTTAAGGTAGGTCATGAACTTCCAATATTAAGCAGTAAATTGTAAGTTTCTTAAAAGAGTTTCCACAATACCTGAAAGGCATCCTGATGTTCATTCTTTCTGCATATTTGCACAATGTCTCCCATGGACAGTGGATTTTAACAAACATGATATCACTGTTTGTAACAGCTGGCTGTAAAGAGCAGTAACAAACCAATACATATTAATAATTGAAACCTCTATGGCATTCACTGCTTTAAAAAGCGTTCTTCAGGGTCAAATTCTGCTTTTAAGCCTGAAGTGGCCATTCAAGTCTGAAAACACCGTAAGAGCTCTCAGTTAGGCAAAGTACTAACTTCTTTTTTTTTTTTTTTTTTTCCCCTCCCTACCCCTATAATATGAGTAAATTAGTAACTGTCGAAAGGAATCTGCAGGACAGATCTCTGCTTATAAACATAGCAAAAGTAGAGAAAGGCTTTATGCAGCATTTTTTGACATGGATTAAATGTATTCATTTCAAATCCCCTCAAAATACCTTAAATGAGCAATTTGAAGACCGTTTGGTGTGTCTCCCATTTAAGGAGAATAATGCTCAGCTGTTAGAGACATACAAAGAGCTGAGAGAAGGCTGCGGGTCCCACTCTGCCAAAATGGTAACTCCAGGGAACAGTTAAGGAATTGCAATATCTGCTACGAACTTATAAATGTGATCTCTGTACAACTTGAGATCTTTTGTAAATTTACAAAGAATGCTCTACACAAATGTTTTTCATCACTGATTTATTTGTACAAGAGTTTCAGCATTAGGTCCCTATATTTATCTCTCATTAAGAAGACTTCAGTTCCATACACTTCTCTCAGATCTATTTGCTTATAAGTAAATGTTTTGGTAGAGAAGAGTCTGATTTAAGCTTCCCAAAAAGCTGAATAATGCGAATTTTGGTAATCAGAAGAAAATTTATTTAAAAGATTAATAAAATTTAAATTGTCCACAATTCTACCTACCAGTTCCATCAAGTTATATTACAGTTCAATAATAGTACTTCTCAGATTTTATTTTTCTCAAAAGAAGTGGATTAAAAAAATACTACCGGAAGAGAAATTAAAACACTTTGTATCCAGAATTGCAATCTTATAAATACTTCTTTTAAGTGTCAATACTTCTGAATTGACACCAACTGAGACTGGGGTATTTATTGAAATCAAAACAAACCCAGATATTTTTACTGCTAGACTGTAACAATCTTTAAAAACCTTAAAACCAAATTTTAATCCATTGTCAGGTTAGTTATTTACAAACATTCAACACGCCACATTATCAGCTAGAAATTTTTTAAGTACTTCAAAACAGTTAAAAGCTCATTGCTTTACGTAAGGTAATTCTGCTGAATTGAAAGCATAAATGAGGAAAAAACCACATGAAGTATAGGAGCTCTACTTCAGGACAGACTAAATACATGACTGTTTATAAGTAATCCATGAAACAGCAAAAATCCAAGGCTGTTTTTCTGGCTGCTTTCCTTTATTTTTATATTAATACTGTCATTGCTAGGGATGGATTAACTTGATAATGACAATCTTAACCCTTTGAAAAACAGGCACATTTAGTATCATGCATTCTGGTGAAAGACATAGAGATTATATATTAAAGCAACAACATGAGTTACTGGAGCTTCTTCTGTTCTGCAAGCATACGGAGCTGCAAGTTTTTCCTCTATATTGCACCACACCTCTGTGTGTGGGAGCATATAAGCATGCATCCCCAAAACATGCTACACACAATATCAAACAACTGTTATTATTCATTTTAAAGCATTAAACAAATGGTGGAAACAGCCTGAGTAGAAAGGCTTGTAAGATTGTCAGGAATCTTTTATAAATTCAGTGAAGTATGACAGTATTATAAAGGGCTTTTTATGCCATATAAGCTACAAGACTCACCTCTCGTTCTAACATCAACCCTTCTGCTCTCAAATTCTTCTCAAACGTGCTTCTCTTTTCTACCTGTGGACTTGACTTTTTGTAGACCAAGATGTAATCAATGCGTTTTTTGCCATCTTTGAAGAAGAGTCCCGACGATGCCATGGCATCAGTCTGGAAAAAGTAAAAGAAAAATACACTAAATATGGCAATATGATTATATATAAAAAAATATATATAAATTTTATAGTACAAACATACCTGTATTTTCTCCAAGAGAGAAATAAATCTAAAAAATTAATAAAGAAATGCTATCGATTGGCATGTTTTCCTGGATATTCTAGTTGACGTGCATTTTCAATGCCGTGCTAGCAATGCATACGTCTTGTCTAGTTCCTTCCCACCATGCTTACAAACACAAGAGATTCTCTGACCTTAATACAGAAAACCCTGCTTTACATGCTGCTGCTGGAAGCTATTTTTGCATTCTGCGTTTTGCATGATTCAGAATAGACAGTGACTGTATCAACTGGTGTCAGACTATGAAGACTTGGAAATCTGAAAAGGTAAACTGAGAAACTATCATCATCTTCTGGAAAATGTAGCACTCATTTTAAACCAAACTGTCCAGAAGAAGTATGTTTGACCTGTTACCCACACAATCAATAGCTATAAATAAAACAACAGTAAAAGCACAACCTGAGTCCTAGTCTGGCAGCACACACAGAGCCCACTGGACTCAGCCTGGAGCAGGTTATTTTGACTCAAGGTACCCATACAGGGAAAAACAACTTTTACACTGAAGTGTAGCTCAGGCAGTGAAGAGTCTGTGTTTCAATTTCTGACATCAAAGGCCCATAATTTCCTTAATGAAAAGAATATAAGGAAGTTTCACATTTATACGAACATATATAGAATACAAATTCTCAGTCATAATCAACAACAGAAGCATTTCACTTACATAAGTACCAACTGAAAGTACACACGAATTAAGCCTCCACAGCATGATGTTTATTTTGCCTCTACCATAGACAGGATGAAGTTCAACCTTCCTCTGTGTGGGTGGTGTTATTTGGATTTTCATTTGTAAAATTATGTAAAGGAAAGTAAATATACCAACAGACTAGTATCTGGGATCCAAAAGATAGATGGATGCACGCAGTAGGGATCTTTTACAATCTGCACCCAAATTTGATAAATTTCTCACCCCATAATCTTTCTACTTCATGGTGATGATGTTTGGAACAAAATTTATTTCCTTCCTAAGGCAGCTTGCAAATTCTGACAGCTAAATCTGCTAGAGAAAAATCACTTTGATAAACTCTTACCAATAATGAAACAAAGCCCTAGAGAGATTTACTTTGATGTCTTGCGGTTTTGCCCAGAGAAACTATAAGAAGAGAAGGAAGAATCCACTAGTAGAAAAAGTGATGCCACTGGAAATGGAAGAACTGAATCCAGTAATAGCACCACCTCACCAGGAGCATTTTTTGAGAGACAAAGATGCAGGGAAAAGTTGTAGAACCAGAAAACATTGGAGAAAGAATGAAAGACAAGTAAACAGTCTTTGAAATGTATTCACTTCCTCATGGAAACAACAACACGTTATCTGACCTACTGCTGACACATAAAACTTTTGTAAACACCACCATAAAGTTGACTGGTATGGGGTCTTACAGACCAAACAGGACTGTATTGAACATCCTATATATATATATATATATATATGTGTGTGTGTGTGTGTGTATATATATATATATATATATATAAAAATCACTTTGTAGACTTGCAAGGAAAATCACCTTGCAATGGAGGAGTACGAAGAGGAGAATGAAGCTTCCAATGCAGAACATTCCGGTTATCAAAAGTGGGGCAAAGAAAAGACATTTTCTGTATCTCTTCATGTCTTGGTTTCCAGGAGGTGTTTTAGAGATAATAATGAATGAGTTCAGGGCTATCAGATCATGTATAACACAGAAGTAGCCATGGAAACAATTTCAGGAACTAGGGTAGGAATTCTGATAGAGGTAAAGTCTGAAGCGTGAAATCCCTGGGCACGGTAACTACCTACAGCTGCAAAGTCTGCCTGAACAGCTTTCCTGTTCTTAACTCTGAGTAGAATTTTTATTTCTCATAAAATAAAACTTTCTGCCAATATAATTTATCATTGTTCCTAGAACTTCACAAGACGCAATTAAGTAGAAGGATTACTGTCTGCTTAATGAAAACCACCCAGTTTAATTACTAATTCTCCTTCACACCATCACCATGAACTTTGCATTAATATCTTCAGTAGTATTCACACTGAAGAACGCCACCATTTCAGTGGTTAGTGTCTACATTCAGAGTTTATGACTCAACTCAAGTATTTTCTGGAAATCAATACATTTCTGATGCTAACCACAATGGACTTATTTCCATTAACAAAAAATGAGATTCCTAATTAATGTTTGCTTTGTTTCAGGATGTTTAAAAATCAAACCTAGGACCCCAACAAGGTTACAAACTTCTTGAATTACACAGAATTAGCTGTGAAAATATTTAAAAATAGTACGAGATGCATTTTTTTTTGATTTAAAAAAATCATACTTTCATTAAGACGACACTTAAGGTGTGTTTTATGAGAAATTTTCTAAGCACACAACTAAGTTCGCAATCATCTTTTTGCGTTTGAAGGCTTTTGCAATGGATAAACCAGAAATAGCTTTACTATATTCATCCTTTCAAATACTTAATTCCATAAAAATATAGATTGATTGATTGATTTTAAGTGTATATTGTTTTGCGGTTTTTTTTTTTTTTTTCTTTTGCAAATAACCATGAGCATAATAACCTAGGAAAGAAAACTGAGGATGTATTTGCATATGCAAAGACATCCAAACTATCTTGGGCATCAAAGACAACGCAGCCTGGTTAACATGACAGGCTGCTGTAATTACCCATGCTAATGTATTTCTGTGTATAGTACACTGTATTGTGCAGAACCTAGCTGTTTTCTGAACAGAGAAGATGACTTCCAGAAATACCTGACCTTCCTAATAAAACTGCAGTTTAACTCTTGAGGAGTAAACTAAAGAATTAGTAATTATTTTAGCTTCTTCACAGAGGACATTCTTTTCCATTTTCATTCTATTCAGACTTACAGAGTATGCATGAAAAATACGTTTGTATATAATATGAAAAATACACTTCAGGAAAGGAGAAGGCTTAGCTGATCTGCAAAATTTTGAAAGAAGTCTGTTCAGTGTTAATGTCTGAGGAAGCAGCAACGGAGGATGTTTGGAGACAGGAGAAGGCTTCCCGGTTTTAATACTCAACCACTTCTGTTTGCTCTTTAAGACTAACAGGGAAGTCATAAGAAGCATACTGACATAACCATTGAAAATTTTTCTTTACATGTTTATTTGTAAAAACTTTCATCTTTATGATAAAATTACTTAGTACTTTCCCTGCATGTCCTGAAATATTTTCTGACCTTTTTTTCCTTTTGAAACAAAACCTCGCAGCAGACGAGATACAGAAACACCAGAAGCATAAATGAAATATACTTTTGTTGCACTTTACCATGTTATTCTATTCCAGGATAATGATTTTTAATTGTTATCATGCCTTTTCAACTTTATTTACTTTTGTGCTGTTAGACTGCATTTGTGGACTACTCCTTATCTACCAGACTCCCTTTGCCATTCTCCTTTCCAGCATACCGTTGTCAGCTGACATCTTGTGCTTATTTATACACTAAAACATTTTTATTACCAAATATTCTCTTTCAGCATGTATGCCGGACTTCCGCTGAATGTAGGCACAGGATTATGAGTGAACTAATGTATGTGAAAATAGTGATAAATTGACAGGATTCGAACATATAGCACAAATCTGTGCGACACTGAAAGTCATGGCCTTAACCAGGAAAAATGAAAACAGAAAATACTCCCTGCAAAAGTATGGAAAACAAAACATTAAGAGTGAAGAAAATTTTTATTCTGCAGATATTACATTTAATTTACTCAATTTTTCAAAACCACCGTGAAATTCTCTTAGCAATACATTTCTTTTGCAGGAGAGAGATGAATAGATACATTCAAAATCTCAAATAATCCAGTAAAATGCCTAAACAATGAATTTCTGGTTTTCACGTGTAGATTATCCTTTAATAACCACTGTAATAATCTACACTGAACATACCAAGTTTTGCTCAACTTATAATGAATTTTCAACAATATGTCTAGCTCATTAGATACTATCCTGCATACGTTTTGGCCAGCTGCTTATTTAAGATCTTATTTCAAACTCCTTATATGTAACTTCTCTGAAGACTGAGAAATTGTTTCCGATCCTATCCAACACCAAGCTAGTCTGGACATGCAGTATTAGAGTGGGTATCAGTGGATACCAGAAAAAGGCAGTAAACTAAGCCACTGTATAGGCAGTATTTCTTTATAGTTCCTGAATCCACAGTGATATCTGAACTTTGTTCTAAAAATCCTTTCTTGGCAGATATCAAAAGACACTACCTAGATAAAAAATTCATCTGATAAAAAATTCGTCAGATCCAAGAGAGTAACAGCAATGCAGTGAATGAAAAGGAAGTGAAGTGTAATTTCTGAAATATTCCTATCTTGCCACCTTACATGTGATAGTACTTGGTACAGCAAAGAATCCACTGCTACTGACATTGCTGCTTCTCTGGACCAATGTTGCCTTCCATTCAAGTGATAAAGTCTGTTTAAGCCTGCTTTCCTTTCCTAGTGAAACCAGAACATTCCAACTATCAGCTTTCCAGCCAGGATCTTCTCATTTCCTCTATTTCCCTTGCAAAGACAGATACGACTCGCTCCATACTTTGCTCAGCAGCCACTTGCTGGCATCACTCCTCTGCACAAAGATCCCTTGACAGAATCACATACATGAAGTCAAACTTTCTACACAATCTCAACAGCAGTGGGTGATGAAAAGACAGCAGAGATGGATAATGGGTCTGAACAACTCACAATCTTTCAGTATGAAATCTGTGGATTCTGAAATTATACCTGCCTATAATAAAGGAGATTATGAGTTATAAATCGTAATCAAACAAGAAAAGTAGATGACTATCAAGATGAGTGTTGGCATCCAGATGCGGTATCAAAATTATCTATTTCTAAACCTTTAAAACTGCAGCAGTACAGATGAGATTTATGAAAAGTGACGCTTCATGTATGTGATCTGAAACACTACACAATTCCTGAAAAAAATGTGTGTTGGCTTTCATCATGTCACCAAGACAAGTTTGTTTTTGCTGAAGTATTCAAGTGGCTCATCACTAAGACAAATAATGTTAAGCATTAACTGAAAATAACATTTTTAGCAATTTTTCCCCTGAGTCTCTCAAGTGTAAAACAACCCTTCCAAAGCAAGCCTAAATTAGGAATCAATAACAAGCAGAGAACAATACGCTTTTATCCTTGTACACTTCGCCAATGAAGTGTTTCTCATTTTCATTTTCTGGTCAGACTCTTTTTATCATGACAGATCTGTTCCTTTCCCAAATATCTAAGAGTACTTACCAGCTGTATAGCTGCAGTCATCTCTGCTTTCAACAGTCTCAAAGAGAGAAGCCTCCTTCTGCTAGTTTTATATCCGTTTTGGGAAGAAGTCTCCCCTAGAAATTTTCCACTAATTGCCACGAAGACTTGTACAATAATCCAAAGGCAAAACAGTAACCTTCTTTTCTAATTTAAAACTAATCTAAATCCTCTCTGCTTTTTTCCTGTGGACACAGGCAAAACAGTAAACAGGAGGAGAATCCTGCTTGCTTGCCTCATTTGCAAAAGCAGTACACAAGCAGAAGGAAGTTTCCAAAGTAGTTGTTGTGATAAAAGGAGTTGTTAAGGCTAAAAGCCAGATGTAGCTGCAGAAGACTGTTTTTGAACTCTGAAGCACTTTGTTCAGTAGGTCAGGACGTATGAAGATTGAGACATAAAAAGTGCATTTTTGTTTAAACTTAATAAAAACACAAGGCTGCTTTTTAAACTCTTAAAGAAAGTCAGCTTACTGCCTGCCTATGAGTCCTGAATGCAGGGCTTGGAGAAAACACAGCTAGTGATGATTTTATATTTATATGAAAATACAAAAAAAAAAAAAAAAAATTTGCTTTAGCACAATGAAATGCTGTTACTAGATAAACATTATCTGTTACTAGATATTTTTGGTAGTGGCCTTAACCGTTATTATTAATATTTAGTGCTCTATAACATAGTCTAAATTCTGCACGTTCCGCATTATTTTTTCTGTCTTTTAGGCCACATTTAACATAAAGGGTTTTGTCTGTCACCAAAATCAAACAAGAACATCCATTATTATTTCTGTCTTAATTCAGCTAGCCTTGCAGAAACATCCTAAAAACCTGTGAACGCAAGAAGTTCTCATGGCAACATCTTAGATTACAGTATAATCCTTCTGTATCATTATCTACATTTCATTTTCATGTCACAGATTACCGATCTGTGAATACAATTACCTGTAAACCTACCTAAAAGTTATTAGATAGCTATTATTCTTGAAGTTTTCCTCTAAAAAGATCCCATGAAACGAAGTCTCAGAGATCACATCACCCTGCTGCCTGTGCTCCAGAGTCCTGTGGTAATGAATTAATGTGGTAATGAAGAGCAGTGTGACTGAGAGAACAAGCTTTACCACAGTGACAGGACTCTTCTGAAACACGTATTCAATGCTAAAATCACCAAGTGCCATAGGCATGATGGATGACAGATCTGTATAATGGCCTGCTGAAAAGTATACACAGAACCTTAAAGCAATTGAAGCACTTCTAGATTTGTAGCATGGGATTATTCATGCCTTTCTATGCCAAAAAAAAAAAAAAAAATCAGAGAATTGCTGGTAAAAAAAATGTGCTGCAGAATACACTGCTGCTACTGCTTGAAGAAGAAAATTATTCAGAATTTCTTGAGGTTAGGTCATTTGTCATACATTTACAAGCAATTATACTTAACGAAAAGGAGAATTAAGGGTTTCCCAGTCCAAAGTGAGAACAAAAAATACTCATATTTTGAACTGAAAATCTGTCATTATTCTTTGGCATTACAGTGGATGAACTGCTGTAGAAAACGCATTGTGATGAATACTGTGATTAGGTAATTACTAAGCAAGATAACATGTCTGTTTTATCTGGTGAGATGGCTTTCTAGTGCTTTAGTTGAGGTTCCTGGAAATACTCCTACACTCTCCCGTACAGCAGTGAATTTTGTCTTTCATTCAATGTGCCTAGCTACCACTTGGATTTTGCTTAGAAGGAAAATCCTACACTTTAGATCACTCTCAACTAATCATATGTGGCACGAACTTCGTTCTTCTAAATTCTCATAATTTCTCGAGCCCTCACAGCTGACACAAATTCCAATCCATGCCGGGAATCTTATGTTGTAAATTGCGTGCAGTGTAAAATTATTGAAAGAAAGCTACTCCCTCATAGATGAGTCGATACAAATCATTGGAATCCTTGATTCTATATAATTTTGGTTGCTTTTGGTACAGAGAATTCCATTCACTGATTCTATAGGTCAAACTACAATATGGGAGCCACCTAAATTTCTTACTATGAGATGCCTATTTAAGCTGCAATTTATCTAATCCCTTAAAAATTATATTTTAAAAATACTTACGCACATTCTGACACACAATACAGTTTAATAAAATTTTGTGTCTGTTACCTTTAAAGATGATTTATTCCGAGGTTCTGTTTTCTGTCTGGTAAGCTTGTTTTGAATGAGCAATGACTGATCTGTACGAGCATCATAATTTCCATGTTCTGAATCATCTGTATATGTGTCTTTCTCCTTTCCTATGTCTGAAGGAAAAACAGAAGAAAACAGTGGGCTTATTTTAGGTTACAGCAAAGAGAAGCTAACAGTATTGTTACAGCCACAGTTGAATATTCCTCTTAAGTATCCACTTTTTAACAACTTACACTCTATCCTTTCCTGCAAAAATTTTTTACCTGAAATGTTATGATGTTTGTCTTAAACTAGAAGGGACTTCTATTTTTAATAAAAGGCCTATAGGAACATTTTTTAAAATTATATTTTATTATATTCAATTCAAAAAAGCTCACAACATTCCAAATGTCCGATTCCACTACACACATGCTGCTCATCATTAGATATAGTATTTGAAAATTTGCATATTAATGTATTGCAGTGACCACTTCAGACCACATTTTAAGAGCTATACCTGATGGTGGTAGAAGATAGTTGACACCATGAAGAAAGTGTTTTCCTTTTCATTTTGTTTTTAATTGCTGAACAAAAGTTTTTCTAAAAACTTAGCTGAGTATCCTAACATAACTGCAGGTGATTGAGGACCTTCCTCAAAGCTTACTACAACCCACTCTGACAGATTAAATTTCCTCCTGCATCATCACTATGGGCAAGTTAGAAGGACTCAGGTCTCTGAGTCACTCTACATCCTCGATCACAAAGGAGACGTTTTCCCAGACATTTGATTTCATTGCACATGCTTCATTAAAAAATAATCACAATACTTACCATATATACCCAGCAGAAGTAAAACGAGGGATAATGTCTGTACAACATTGAACTATGTAAGTTTTAATGAATGTTGAAAATGGTTAGTCTTGAAAAAATATTTTAAAGAATAAAAAGATGGAGTAATTATTCCCACACAACCATATCTTGGACAAATTGGAAATAGAAACATACTCAGACAAAAAAGTTACCCACAAATCCCGAGCCAAGTTCTCATCTCAGCTTCCACATCAACATGGGAAAAGTCAGGGGAACTGGGAGCAACGTTTAGCCCAGTAATTCTAAACCCTAAATAGAAGCCAAGAAACAAGTCATGGTTGCTGTGGGAACCACAATCTTGAATTTCCTGAATTTTATATTCATAAGAGATCATCTGCAACAACAAAGTATTTTTCATCAAGTTGTTCAGTTAAATTCTCCACAATAAGTACTACAGAAAAAAAACCAAACCCACAATTATCTCATGTAGCCTAAACATTTCTGAAATGGAATATTAAACTGGAACATTTACCAAGAGATGTTTTTTCTGCAATTTAACTACTTACGTAATGATTACATGAAACGAGCCCTCAGTAATTTCTGATATTGATATTAACCTCAGTAAAACTGTGAAGGGAAATAGCCTGTTTTAATTGTCAGAGCTCCAAACTGAAGAGATTTGGTTTATTTTAAACAGTGTTTCAAACTAATATACATGTTCCTCTCTGGTCATCAAAAATGAATGTAGTAATTTAGAATGTAGAAGAAGGTTTCACGTAGGAGGTATACCAAGTAGGAAACAGGATACTTAAACAACTTTGACTCATACCCAGATGTGATGAGCTCTTAGCTGTATTAAACCATGTAATGGAAACCAGTAAAAGGAAGAGACAGGCCTACGAAACCTAAACTCTTGCATCTAGATAGGCCATTTAAGCTGAAAGACAGACGACTTATATTAAAAAGTCTATTTTCACAAGAGAAGTTTTAGAGGATTAGACATTCTGAGCACACCTAATACTCAAAAAAACCCTTTGGAAAAGTACATAATGTTTTATTTAAACAATATAAAGTTATGAAAGAAGTTTTCCCTTAGGGTGCAACATACTTTTACCTGATAAATACTTTTCTATTTTCAAGGACATAGCTTTTAAGTTGTAGCATGTATTTTCTGTAAAAATAAAAAATAACCTTCTACTTAGAGATACCTGCTATCTTGTCGGAAATGTACTCAAAAAGTGTTAGTGACAAAAACCCCCATAAAAGCAAATAAATTTAGAATTAAAATCAGTAAACTATACCCAAAAGTTAAATGAATTGCATCATATTTCTATACCAGAACTGGTTAGAAAGAACAATTTTACCCTGTGTGTATTTTGGGAGGCTCACTTTGTTTAAGTTGAGCTCTTTGTAAATTTCTTTTGATTAGTTTTAAAAATTTTAAAGAACAGAGAATGAAATATGTTGGGTTTAGAAAAAGATGTTGAGAGAAGATAACAGAAATAAAACTTTGCCACTAATGGCATTGACTGTGGTTTTGTATTTTTCTTTGACCAGGTGCTCTTTATTAAACAAGAAAGTCTCTCTTCTGTAATTCTACCACCCACCAAGGCAAAATTACATTCCCTTAAAGATAAACTTACACAACCTAAATTGAGCTTAATTGTTCCTAGTGTCACCAGTGCATACTACAATACACGATAATTTAAAGTCTTTCATGAACAACTGCAGTTTCTAAACTTTCGTGACATTTTTACATACTGTTTGTCCATAAAGTAACACTATTTTCTGCCATATTTTCCTCCACAACCTCTATTATTTGAGTTTGCATTTGAACTGCCGTTTGGGATTGCCACAAGCCAAACCAAGAGAGCATTCCTGCATGTCATGGATAGAGTTGTACTGCCCAAGGGTATTGTTAATGTAACGTACCCCAAAAGCAATGATATGGACTAACAGTCTTTCCATTTGACTTGCATTATAAGCATCAATCTTTAAATTCAAACATGGAGTCTTTATTTGGCTACAGCTCCACAAGACGTCACGAGAAATGCTTGGCTGCCACAAGCTCTTTCCCTCTGTGCTGTGGGAAAGCTACTGTTTACTTCATTTTTTACTTCCCATCTTGCCTTCCCTGGCCTATGACAACTCACTTGGTTGTTATTGTTGAGGACCACTGCCAGCTGTCCCTGCTCTTGTAGTTCTTGGATGGGCTCTAATGCCAACCATCACAACTAGCCTGCTTGACTTTGGGAGGGGGAGGGTGTAGGCAAGAAGCCATAGGAAAAAAAGAAAATAAATCCGCTTCATATTGCTCTAGAAGCTCAGGCTTTTACACCAATTAACAGAAAGATGGCTTCTGCAGATAAGAAATGTCATCCCACCTGTGCTTTGCTGGGCACATCTGAAAGACAGGAGCCAGGAGTGTCCCATGTGTAAACATCAGTGGAGTTCCAAGTGCTCATTATTTTTTTATGAAACATTTTTAGTTTTCACTTTTCTTCTTTTCAGAGCTAAAAAAAGTTGATCAGATTCTCAGCTGTGTAAGTCGAATCACTAAAATACTGCTCTACAATGGTCAACAATCAATGTTTATATGTTGAAATACATCAGTTGAGTAGATGTGTATTTAGCTTTTACTTAACCTACACTGCAGTAAGGTACTAGAGTGAAGAGTAATTTTCAGAAATACCTAAAAAAAACCTTTGGTCAATGTAAAAACATGGCAAAGTTGGCAAGCAGTGTAATAATTGTTTATGAACCATTTTTCCACTTCTCCTTTACTGCAAGATCAAATAAAAAACCCAAACCAAGCCATAAAAGAATTTCTTCCCTGTTGGGGAAACTCTTGGCTAAAAACAGCTCTCCTACATTAAAGTACCCCTGTAGTCTCCCCACTACCAAAATCTTGCCTTGCACACGCAGTACAGCTGTTCAGGTAAAATATGATTGGTAATGCTGCCAGAAAGTGCATGACCCTTTACACAGCTTCTTTACGTGAGTTTTCAGAGTACCTGTTTCAGGAGAAAGATTTAAATATTAATCCTTCAATTATATTTAAAAACTATGTCCATGCAGAACTGACTGAACAACAATACAAAGCAAATATAATGCATTTTTTTTAGAATTAGCATAGCCGGTAACAGTATCTTGCTGATCTATTTGACTTATACAATTATGCTAATTAAAACTTATGTGGTAGTTGAGAGATTTTTAAAGTGTTGTCACATAAAAAGTTTTATTTTAAAAAAATCATTAGTTATATACACATATTCGTAAGCCCCAAGTGACCTGTTACAGAAAGGAAAATTAATGTGCTATTATGACTTCAAGTCAGAAAAGGAAGGTTTCTGTATTAAAATGTTTCGTTTTCCCTAATGCTGCAAAAATAAGATAGAAATAAAAATGCAGAATTTTAAATAAAGATGAAGATATTAAATCAGAGGAAAGGGTGACTGACAGCTTCTAAATCTAGAGGCAGAGACCAAATCGTATTTCCACGAAGTCACTGTAAATTTCACTAGTCAATTCAGTAAGTCAAAGACTTCTATAATCAGGTACATATGTAAAGCAGATGCACCCATATAACTGTTACCATACCAGAACATCTAAGTAAGGGATGTGTACTGTCACCTTGGATACACAGCCAAGTGTATAAAGTGATTTAAAAAAGATTCAAGCTCTAATCGAGCAGATAACAGATATCTTCATCCCAGCAGTTGGTTTGTTTTGCTATCTTGTAATACTGAGGCATTATAAGTAACTTCAGGCTTCATACATCACAAAAACCTATCTATGCTTCTTGAAATATAGTTTGGCTATGCTTGACGCATGACGGTAAAATTTGCCCCAAGGGCACTTACAGGATAAAATGTTGGAGAGATGTTTATTCATTTCTGGAAGTCTTTTACCTAGCAATGAAGCAGCATTTAGTTTAGACATTGATTTGTAGGTCTACACTTGTTCTGGTTTCAGGTGGAACAGAGTTAAATTTTCTTAGTAGCTAGACTACTGCCGTGCTTTGGACTGCCTCTTCATTTTTGAGTTGCCTTAACTGCTTGGCTACCTTTCTTTCTATCATATTTTCCTGCAGGGCTAAGAATGCATTTTAATTTTATGACAGAGGATAAAAAGCACTTGTCCCAGTTTTTCTGTAACATGCAATCCACCAATATATTTGAGATAACTGTAGTATAGGATAGCAAATGTTTTTCACCTGAAATGTGGCATAGTTACGGAAAGAACAATTAATATAAAAATATTCCTAAATATAATACTTTTTGTTTCAGAAACTTTGAATGATGACTTGACTCAATCCTTTAAG